AAAAACCAAAAAAAAAAAAAAAAAAAAAAAACCCTATAGTAAAGACAAACCCTCTAACTGGGTCCTGGTGGTACACACCTTTAATCTCAGCACTCAGGCAGAGGCAGGTGGATCTTGAGTTCCAGGCCAGCCTGGTCTACACCAGAACAGCCAGGGCTACATGGAGAAGCCCTAGTTTGAAAAAACAAACAAAAAGACTAACTCTAAGGTTTTGTTATGTAGCCCAAGCTAGCTTCAAACTTATATGTGGCCTAGGCTGACCTCAGATTCATGGGAAATCTGTATCAACCTACCCAGTGCTAAGATTGTAGGTTTGTGCCCCAGGCCTGGCTGAGACTTATAACTACTATACCAGTATCCTGGACATATTTTATGCAGAATAGAGAATATTATGCATATATTTCTTAACTTTTTTTTTTCATATTGAGGATTAAACTCAAGACTTCACACAATAATAGAGCTAAGAAAGTGTGCTCTACCATTGACCATTTTATCTCTAGGCCCTTAAATACAATTTTACTTTTTATGTTTTATTTTCTGTGTGTGTGTGTGTGTGTGTGTGTGTGCGTGTGTGTTTAAGACAGGGACTTACTATGTGGTTATACTGGCCTCAAACTCACAATCTTCCTGTCTCAACCTCACAGGTCTTTGGATTACAGGGGTGTACCACTTCACCTAGCTGTTTGTGTTTGGCTTATTTTAATGAGTGTGTGTGTGTGTGTGTGTGTGTGTGTGTGTGTGTGTGTGTGTGTGTTCCAGGGTGTGTATGCACATGCATTTGGGGCCTTGTGGGGCAGATGTCTATGCAGGTGTCTTCCTCAGTTGCTCTCCAGGTGTTTGGTTGGTTTTGTTTTTGAGACAAGATCTCACTGTGTGACCCTGACCAGCCTGGAACTCTGCCTGCCTCTGCCTCCCAGGGACTGGGATTCAAGATATGCACCACAAAAAACTCAGGGTTTGGGGGTTGTCTTTTTATAACGGGGGTCTCTCACAGACTTGTCTAGGCTGGCCAAGGCTCTCTGGGGATCCTCCTGTTGACACTTGCCCCTGGCCTGGACGGCAGTCACCAGCCCACCTCACCAGACTTTATGTGCTGATGCTGGGGTTCCCAACTCAGGTCCCGCTCATGTTTGTACCATCTGACTGAGCCATCTCCCCATCCCCTCAGCTTGACTTTTCAAAAATATCCAGTTTTATAGCCTGGATAATAAGCATAAAGCCAGCCTTGTGCTATAAGCAGGCACAGACAACGTATTCCTCAGCCCTGGGCTACATACCCCTGGCTGGAAATCTTGGGCCTTGCAATCTTTTCTGAACACTTCAAGGCTAGTGGATGTGAAACGCTTTGTCGAGAATTTCCCAAGAACTTGAATAATGTAATCTCACAGAATGGGGGGGACGTTGATACTATTCGTATCAAAGCAGGCAGTACAAATAGTACCTGCCTCCTGCTTCATTTTCAAATGTGCTGACTTTATTGTTCTCAAAATGGGCCCCTCCCCCACTTTGGGGCTGGGATAGAACCCAAGGCACATGACCCAGGGCTCAGCCCTGGAGCCACACCCAGGTCCTCAAACTGCTTCAGCAGCTTTTTCCAGTTCCCACCATCGGCGACCAAAATGTTTCTTTTCGCTAACGTCCTTAAGAGAAAGGGGTTGATAACAGAAGCTTCTTGCAGAAGGACAGAGGATAGTGCAGCGCTTGAGCGTGGGCTTTGAAGTCACATGCCCATCAGATGCCTTACTCCCCCCCACCACCACCAACTGTGAGACCTTGGGTCCACAACATTTGACTTCTTTGGTTAACCCCCTCCCCTTTGTCTATTGGTAAAATGAGGACAAAGGGATGTGTGCCATCGGGTTGTTATAAGGATCGTATGTGATGATACATGCAGTGTTTTATTGAACAGTACCTGAAACAAAGTGAGGATGGTCGTGTTTGGGCCAGAGATACATACAGCTCAGGTGCTGCCTACTTGTCTCACGTGCCCAAGGCCTCTGATTCCACTCCCTAGCACCAGCCTAGGGGCGGGGGAGGGGAAATGCTAATGCTCTCCAAACAGTCAAAATTTAAGTTGAGGCAGGGTGTGGTCACTGAAGTGTGTACAGTAGCTTTCTCTCCAGAGACTGGGGCTAGAGAGTTCTGTCTCAACAAACCAAACACCACAACATAAAACAAATTGAGATAGGCGATACGCTTCCAAATAACTAAAAACAAAAAGCTTGAAAATCTGTTTCTAAGTGAATAAACTCCAGAGAAACTGGCCTTTGTGTATACCCACAAAAATAAAATAATTGAGAAAACAGTTTTTTTTAATGATTTACCTGTTTTTGTTTCATGTGCATTGGTGTTTGCCTGCATGTATGTCTGTGTGAGGATGTTGGCTCCCTTGGAATTGGAGTTACAGACAGTTGTGAGCTGCTATGTGGGTGCTGGGAATTGAACCTGGATCCTTTGGAAGAGCAGCCCGTGCTCTTGGCCATTGAACTATCTCTCGTGTCCCAAGAAAACAAATTTTATTCCAAAAAACTAAACTAATGAGTGGTTCCGAGTATGTTCTTGTTTTAGTTTTTGGAGACAGGGTTTCTCTGTAGCTTTGGAACCTGTCCTGGAACTCACTCTGTAGACCAGGCTGGCCTTGAACTCACAGAAATCCACCTGCCTCTGCCTCCCGAGTACTGGGATCAAAGGCTGTGCCACCACTGCCTGGCTTTTTTTTCCCCAGTATGTTCTCACATGACAATGGATACGGCCCAGATGCCATATAAGTAAGTTAATGTTTCCATTGACACTCAACTAGGCCTGTATTAAACCTGGGGATGAGATAGATATTTATCCGGCATCTAGGCTCAATGCTCTTAGTGTTTTTTTAAGTCCTTAGTTCCTTATTTCATTCATCGACAGTCTCTCTCTCTGGCTCAGGCTGGACTGGAACAAACTATCCTTCCCAGGCTGGCTTCAGGCTCAAGCTGACCCTCTTGCCTCCGCTTCTCAGGTATCAGGATTACTAGCAAGAACACAGCTCCTGCTCACCTGAGATTATTTTATATTTTCCTCCCTAGCCCTTTCATGCTTACTGCGGAGTAATCCAACAAAATTTTAATTCAAACGAAAGACTTATTGGCTCCGATGTTAATAGAATGATTATCTAATCAAGTGGAGGGAGAAAACAGACAAGCCCCTTCTTTGCTAGGATACTGATGGCGACTGAAGAGACCTAAGCCAACGTGGTGTTTCAGCGGCAGCAGAGACGAGTGGCCTGGATGTGTAACCTTCAGCATCAGACGCTCAAAGGACAGGCACATTTCCAGTAACAGCTTCATTTCCCCGCGCGTTCCCTGAGGAAAGCGGCCGGTGAGTTCTGGTGATGGCATCAGCTGACATCACTGGCTGGGATCATGGGGACGCTGGGGCCCACCTCAGCGGTGGCCTGACTGCATCAACCTCTGGGTTTCCCAGCTCCTGCCACGTGAGCCGTCCTAATATGGCCAGGCTCAGGAGCAGCCCAGGAGCAGCCCAGGAGTGCTTCCTTTCTCCTGCTAAAGGAGAGAGGGCTGGAACAAATGCTTAAAGTCAAACACAATCCCAAGAAAAGCAAATGGGGGATTTGGGTTCGCGCCTGGCCAGATGCAAATCCCAGGGCTGCAGAAGCTCCAACCTTGGGGTATCAATCATTGAATTAAAAAACAAAGCCTTTGCTTCCCCCCACCCGCCCCACCCCTCTTCTTTCTTGCTATCTCTGAACCTTCTGCAGCCCTGGGACAGACCCCAAAGCTCTGGTCCCCTTTAACGACCTGAGGAGCCCTGGGGGTGGGGTGGGCTGCTGGGGACCTGGTGGCGGAGCCTCCGGTCCTAGCAGCCTAGGGGGAGATGCTGCAAGGCGTGTCTGGGCTGTGCTCATGTGATGAAGGGAGGGAAAAACAAGGAGGGGGGAGGAGGCTACGAGGTGGCTTTTTTTTTTTTTTTTTTTTTTTCTTTTAAGGAGTTTGCCACGAGCGCGTCCCCTTCATTCTCAGTCCGGGCGCGTTCTCAGCAGGATCGCAGAGAGCCGGCGCTCCTCGTCCCTCATCCTCGTGGTCTTGGGAGCACGTCCCCTAGCCCCTCGGCGTCCCCGCGGTCCCAGGAAGGCGGCTAGCCGGCGGGAGTAGGACAACCACTGAGCCATGGGCGCAGGCAGTTCCACCGAGCAGCGGAGCCCCGAGCAGCAGCCGGCGGGGAGCGACACGCCGAGCGAGCCGGAGCTCAGTGGCCACGGGCCCGCGGCGGAAGCGCCGGGAGCGGCTGGGGAACCTGCCGACGCGGACCCCGCCACCAAGGTATGCTGCGGCCACCTGCCCGGGTGGGGCGGGATGGAGAGATGGGGCGTCCTGGCGGGTTCCGCCTGCCACAACTTCCCGCCGGTGCAGCCGGTCTGCAAACTCGAGCGCAGCCCTTTGCAGGCTCTCGGGGTCTTTCGCACCGGGGCGGGGCTGGCATCTTTGTCGTGGGTCCCTAAGGGCGGCGACCTAGCCCTTCCGCAGCCATCAAATCTGGCCCTGCGCGCCGCTCTCCAGCCTTTCCTCCTCTCTTCCGGTGGGCTGGCAGCCTAGGGGATGGCCGGTGGTGGGGCATCCATAAGAACTGACCCCCGCCAGGTATTTGATGCCGCCTCACACACACCCCCAGATCCCAGGTCCCAGAGAGAGAGAGAAAATCGGAACGTGCTTTGGCATAGGGCAAACCTGGTTCCTAGTTCCCCACCCAGTATTGGCCTTGACACCGGCTTCCACCCGGGCCACCCGGTTTGGTACCCAGAGTCCTGCAGCAGCGCCTGGGACACCGCCTAGCTGGTGCAGAGAGCCTGGCGTGCAGCTAGCTCTCTTCCAGAGAGAAACCCGAGCAGAAGCACCAGTGGAGAGGGATAGGCAAAACTCCTGGCCTCCTGTCTCCCTTTCTCACAGTTTGCTGCCCGTGGACTCAGTTGGATAAACAAACATTGGAGTTAGAAGTTCTCCACCGATGTAGGCAAAGGCTTAAGCGAGCGTTCCTTGCACTCTTGTCTGTCAAGTCTACTGAAAGGCTCTAGAAATACTGCATCTTACAGGCTCGCTTGGTCAAGGCCGGAATATTTCATCCGGTACACCACAGCCGCTACCTTTGTGTCCTGTTCTCATTATTGTATTTGATTCGGTTCTTTCTCTTTTGTTGTTGTTCGCGGCCCTTCATTAATTTGCTTATTTGTTTTGAGACAGGGTCTCACTCCTATGCTGGCTTGGGACTCACACCCTAGCCCAACTACTAGTGGCAATCCTCCTGCCTCAGCCTCTCAAATGACTTCGCAGCCACGCCCGGCCGACGACATTGCATTTTAGCTGTTTTCCAGCATGTGTTTTTGAGCAAGGCTTCACTCAGGTGGATTTATGATCTCCTTACAGAAACGCGTGACCAGCCAAACAAACTTAAAGAAAAATCAACCAATTGCTGAATTTGGGGATAGAGTAGTGAGGATCTTTCGGAAGGTCCCAGGAAGTGTAAACACATCCTTCTGTGTAGAACAAAACATTGAGATCCAGGTAAATCTTATACAAGTCAGACCTGGTCGCCTTGACCTCTTTAGTTGTCCTAGTATAGTATAGGGTGAATGGCCGCTCTACCTCCAGTTCTAACTCCTCACTACTTGTGAAATCCTCGCTACCTCCGATGCATAGGTTTTCTAAGTAGTACCTCACCTTCTGCCATAGTCTCCATCCTTTGGATGCCTCAGCTACATTTTAATGCTTGTGTTAACGATCTTTTTAAAGGAAGAATGACTTAGCAGAGAAAAAATGCACGTGTGTGTGATCTGTGTGTGTGTAGCGGAGGGGTAAACGCGCCATGGTGTGCCTGAGTGAAGGTCAGATAACAGTTCTCTAGAGTTGGTCCTCTCCTTTCGCCTTTATGTGGGTGACGGGGCTTGAACTCACGTAACCGGCTTTGCACGGCCAGCTGAACCTCTACCTGCTGAACCGCCTCTGCCCCACGCCATGTTTTGATGACAACTGCTGTCAACACAGTTGACATGTCATTAGAGTCATTTTAAGGTATCACTGCAGAAAATTTGCAATCAGGAGACATTCTTTACCTCGGTTTTTATATGACTTCAAGTCTTATCTGTTTACACTGAAATGTGGACCTTCCCAATAAGTTGCGTTTGCTTACTTAAAAAATATTCCTTTCTTTTCCACCTTCCATACCCTCCCGTAACCTGCATCCCACTTCTCCATCCCAGTCAACCACCATCTTGAAGCATCCAAGCAGTCTCTTCTAAAAGATGACTAAAGGGACAACATCCACAGCATCATTAAATTGTTGGCCAGTTTCCCAGTTATCAATTTGGAGATGGATCAATACACTTGCATGTGCCTGTTGGAATATATGTGTTCTTTCATTTCAACCCACAGATTACTCAGGTTTTGAAGACCTAAGATTTTTTTTAATAGGATCTCAGAATTAAGAAGGATTCAGCAACCCCAAATTCTACCCTTGCTTTCTATCTTAAGCTCCAGTCCCTGACCTCCAAGGCGAAGAGGTTCCATCTGCCACTCTTGGCCCCGTTACTCCTTGGTCCCTTCCCAGCAGAGTTTACATTTGTGGGTTTAAGGGCTTTGTAACTATTACGTTTGACGGCTCTGCATGCTCCGTAAGACATGGGCTTATCTGGTTTTACCGACAAACTGTCCCCTGTGTGAGGGATGGTGCCTGGCATGGAGTGTAGGGACTTGGCAGGAGTTGATGGAGAGAAGGAAGTGATGGTATTGGCCCTTGGGTTTTCATTGGTGAATGTCAGCTGCCTGCTTCTCCGGCTTCACCTCTAACCTCATTGGGATCAGAAAGTGACTGAGCCCGGTCTATTTGGTAATTAATAGATGGAGCAAAAGATTTAGGGAGAAACTCAGATTTGAAGACTTGTTTGTTCTTCAGAAGTAGAGTGGCTTGGCTGGATGGGGGAGGCTCACATTTGCGTCCCAGCACTCAGAAGATTGAGGCAGGAGGACTGCTTTGACTTTGAAGCCAGTCTGGGCTAAATGAAATCCTTGTTTTTTTGTTTTTTTTTTGGTTTTTTTTTTTTTTTGGCTCAGATGAAACATACACCAAGTTACTTATGGGTTACATCATGAATACATCTTGATGGATGTATAGACATTTGGGGGAGGTTTGCTATATAGTATACAGTTTTCCCCTCTTTGGACAGAATGATCTTTTTTTCCTTTTTACATAATATAATCATTAAAGATGATTATCAGATTTTTTTTCTGTAGGTAATGTCAAATATTTATATTATACATGCTACGTATTTGTTTAGTAAATCAGTTGATTTGTGGTTTTTGTTTTGTTTTTTTAGACAAGGAGTCATTCTGTAGCCCAGGCTATCCTAGAACTTACTATGCAGCCCAGGCTGCCCTTGAACTTGATCTTCCTGCCTCAGCCTCCTGTGACTGAAAGAAATTACAGGTAGGAGCCACCATTCTATTCTGTTTATTTTTTTTCTGTTAATATATTTTTTAAAATTTTAGGTCAACATATAAAGAAATGGGTTTCATTATGGTACCTGTGTACAGTTTTATTTACTTATTTATTGGATGCTAGAAAGTGAACCCAGAGCTTTGAGCAGGATGCTCGACATGTACATTAACACTGAGCTACAGTCCCCATCCATTTTTCTGGTGACCTTTTATTGCAGTTACTCCCTAAGTGTCCTCAAAGGCAACTCCCTAGTTGAACGCTGTCATGGGGTCAAATAGAGAGTTAAACTTTGTTTTGTTTTGTTTTGTTTTGTTTTGTTTTGTTTTGAGACAGGGTTTCTCTGTGTAGCCTTAGCTGTCCTGGAACTGGCTTTGTAGACTAGGCTGGGCTTGAACTCAGATCTGCCTGCCTCAGCCTACTGAGTGCTGGAATTAAAGGTGTGTGCCACTACCACCCTGTACCTTTGTTCTTAAAGAAATAATTATATATTTAGTGTGTGTGGTGTACCACCCTGTACCTTTGTTCTTAAAGAAATAATTATATATTTAGTGTGTGTGTGTGGGCGCGTGCAAGCATGCTTAGGTACCCATGCAGGCCAGAAGTGGGCTTCATATCCATTGGAGTTAGAGCAGTGTGCTCCCTGGTGTGGGTGCTGGGATCCCTCTGGTCCTCTGCCAGTAAGTACTCTTATCCACTGAACTATCTCTAGTGTCTGGGAGTTAAACATCATCATCTTCCTTCTCCTCTTCCTCTTCTTCCTCCTTCTCTTGTTTTGGGGTTGAACTCTGGGCCTTGCCCATGCCCGGCAAGCACATAGCCTCAGCCCAAGAGAGTTAAACTTTTGATTACTCAAGTTTAACATTTAAATGTCCCATATTTATCTTGATTTTTATCTATGATGCACTTCAGTAAAATGCAGAGAGTTCTGTAGTCAGTCTTCATATGCAAATTCCAAGAGGAAATGGCTTGGTCAGTTGTTTGCCTGGCTTGACTTTTGGCCACTCCTGGGGACAGTAAGATTGGCTTCTTATTTCCTCAGTTGTCTCTGCAAGTTTATATTCATTCAGTTGCTGACGTCCAATGACTGGTGGACTTCATTGCTCTGGTAGAGCTTGATTTCTGGAGGCAAATTGAAGGCCAGGTTTGGCGATCAGAATGTCTCTGAATTAACCTTTGTTTAAATAAATAATTACGTGTGTGTGTGTGTGTGTGTGTGTGTGTGTGTGTGTGTGTTTATGTATGTAGTGTGCAGGCATATGGAGGTCAGAGGACAACCAGCAGGAATTGATAGTCTTCTCTCACCGTGTGGGTTCCAAGAATTGAGCTCAGGTCATCAGGCTTGGCCGCAAGCACCTTACATGTGGGGCCTTCTTGGCAGCCCTGAATTAGCCCTGAAAAGACCTTTCTGTCTTTTCTACTGATCAGTGATTTCAAAGCTGGAAATGGAACAGGGCCATTGCAAGCTGTGTGAGGCTATTGTCCCCAGAAGGTGGAGGTGGAGACCCTTGTCAAGTCTTCCAGGCTATGATTCCGTCTGACTGCAGGAGTTATGAGCCACCAAAACATAAATAATGTGCAGAGTTGAAGAATTCATTATTTTATTTTTTTATTAACTTAATTCTAATGTATATATGGGCAAGTGTTTTGCATATATATGCACACATATAATTTGCATATATATATGTCTACACGCACCACATACATGCCTGGTGTCCCCAAAGGTCATCAGGCATCCAGGGCACTGGAATTACAAATGGCTGTGAGCCACCATGTGGGTGTTGGGAACTGAACCCAGGTCCTCTGCAAGGGCAACAAGTGCTCTTAGGTGCTGAGC